GTGGACTGATGCAGCACTTAAAAGTCAAGTTAGATAGAAGTTTAGATTGTTTACAAACATAATAATTAGCTATACAAGACTGAAAAACCTGTGCAGATTCCTAATTATACCTATAATTACCGGTATTATAATTTCTCATGGGCTTGCATTTTTAATGTTGGCTTCATCCAAGAAGGCAAATGATACTAAGAGATCAAAACCTTTTAGCTCTCGTTTAGAACTAGTAAAAACTAGTTACTATGCAACTAGTAAGGCTCATGCTTGAGGCAACTTCAGAGCAAAGGTCCAGCAAAAAACATGCTAGGCAATCTAAGCTGAAGCTGATTCAATATTATGAAATTTGATATAAATGTGTACTTCTAGAGAGATTTACAAAGCTAGATTTAAAAAAAATAATAATTATTGTGTTATAATAGCAAGTGTTCAGACAAGTTCCCAGTTATAGTCTCCTCATTTTCCCTTTCTTCAATGTCTTACTTTGAATTCTTAATAGGGAATTCTTGAAAAGCAAGTGATTTTGCTGTGAAAAATACTGTAATAAGAGAGCAAACCAAGAGAAAACGATAGTTCATTCTGGGCATTATGTGATTGAGAGGGAAGTTATTGTGATTAACTTTAGAGATGAATAGATGGGAGGAATATTAGGTAAGAAATAAATTACCGATTAAGTTTAAAAAAATCTGACATCCACATGCCATTTTTAAAAGTACGTGTTTAAAAGAAAAACTATTTTTGTCTACAGTTCATGTTTTCACACAATGTTCCAAATTAAAAAAAAAATCATACTTCAGACTAAAAATTATTTAGTTAGACAAATAACTAAAAACTCCACAGTCACTTCTTCACACTATCACCATCATTAGGATTATTAAAATTGGCACACATCTTGGCTTACAGAAAGGAAACAAAAAAAGACGTAAGTAATTGCAAATGAAGCAAGAATGCTTTACATCATATGTTTACCCACACTTTAGGTTGTCATGGGTTCTGCTAGGGAGCAGCAGAGAATCTGACATTACTTTAAGTAATCCTTTCTCAAAGTGAGGTGCAAAACCTTCTGTCACTACTATGGATGCAGTATTAATAGTGACTTCTATGAGCATATTCATCTTTTAGAAAACTTAAAAAAGACTGTCTGAAAGGAACGGAAATGCATAAAATTAGCTATAGAATTAATTCATGACAAGTATTTGTCTGGAGTGCATTTCCTCACACTCCACTCTTTCATTTGTTATAGGGCAAGAGATGTGGAATTTCTTTTCAAGTGATGAATCCAATCGCCAACAAATTTTCACCCCTTATCTCTGTCAATATTGCCAGTGTCTGTTCCATAACTGTGACACTCCTATGAATCCAGTTTCAGGCCTGGAGAGGTGGTCATTCCAGCCCAGCCAGAGCAGCCTCTACCCAAAGCAGACCTCTCCTGGCCAGAGCAGCCTGCCACAGCACTCTAGCCCAGATGGACCAGCTCCCGTCCACTTTCATTTAAGTGGTTAACCAGTTAACTGATTAAACAGGATTTTACATCCCTAATTTAAATCACAATAACCAAAAAAATCTGATTGAAATCAAGTTACCAAAAAGTTGAGAGTGATTGTGCTTAGAGTGCACTTAATTTTGGAGTAAGCCTCACTGAACTCCCTGGTACTTACGTTTGAGGAAACAAGTAAAATGATAAAATATTCTCTGGGAAAAACTGGGTTATGTTAAAGTAAAATAGGGAATAGACTTAGGGCATCACCTTTGTGGTCTGTGACCATGATGTTCCAAAATAAGAGGCATGTAAATAAAATAAGAAAATGCCACTCAGTGGCAACTGCAGATTTATATTACTGCAGCTTTCTGTATTGTATGCTTGAGTGACGTATTCTGAACCTATTTAATTAAACAAGCCATAAAGACTAGCCAAGCTAAACTTTTTTTCTAGCAACATCCAATGCATCAAACAGCTTGGGAATTTACTTGTTAAATCACACTTATACTAAAACGCATAGACAGTCTTGAAGAATGATGCATTGCAAATTGAACTATTTAAGTTACTAACTAGTTGATCCACGCAGCTATATCCACATCTTCATATCCACACTTTCTCGCAACAAGCAGTTTTCCTTATGATGTTTCATTTTGCAACTACAGGTTGAACCTCTCTGGTCCCGCAACATCCGTGATCCGTCACGGATGTTGTTGGACCAGAGAGTCCCGAGACCGGCCGCAGAGCCCAATGACCTAGAGAAGCAGTTCTCAAACTTTTTGGGCTACGGAGCCCTTTACATGTGTAAAAATTTATGCGGAGCCCCAGTGGTCCACTGATTGTATGTGTTGTACCTATTGATGTTTCCAGTTTCCCTGGGGCTTTGTGTTGTACCTATCGATGTTTCCAGTTTGTCAACCTCACGAAGCCCCTGGGGCTTTGCGGAGCACGGTTTGAGAAACACTAGCTTAGAGCAAGGGAGCTTGGTGATCTGCTGACACTCCCTGGGAGACCCTGGAATCTGTCAAAAGAGGGGCTGACCTCCCTTGGTCTGGAAAACTCCCTCCTTTGGGACCAGTGAGGTCCTGAAGATGCCAAACTAGGGAGGTCCAATTTGTAGGATCTGCATCATTTTCTTGCACTGCTCACATTTGACATATTTTCCTTTTTTTTACCCTAGAAATGAATCTCTCAAAATATTCCCAGATAGGGGGTCTCTTACACCTAGAAGACATGACAGTTTCTCTGTGGCAAAAGTGTGGGGGAAATACAGAAAGTTACATGCATGCTAAATAGTGACTTCCCCTTTTCTTTCCACTCCATCCCACTGTTTCTTTCTATGCTGCCTCTGTCATTTCCTATATACAGTAAAACTCCAATAGTCCGGCATCCAATTGTACGACACTCCCAATAATCTGGCATCAAAATGGCAAGAGCCTAGTGAGTGAGCTTCGGTAAAAAATGAGTTACAAGGCAGCAGCTGAACCGAGCGGGACCAAGTCAGTCTGCCACTGGCATTGTGTGATGCTGGACAGTGCTTATGCTACAATAGAAAGGGTTAAAAACACTTTATATACAGTATATACTGAAAATAAATATATATATTATAGTACCTCCTGATAGTCCAGCATCTCTGATAATCCGGCACCACCTAAATCCCAAAGGTTCCAGATTATCAGAAGTATACTGTACTGCCTCTGTCTTTAAGACAATGTCTTAACTAATTCCTTTGATGTGGTTGGCCTAGGTCCACCACATAAGCACAGAACAGAAACAATCCTATCTAACTTGTGTCTTTCTTTGCACTAGAGATGTTAAAAGTCAGTTAAATAGGTAACCTGTAACCACTAAAAATCTCAGTGATTAAACGCAGAGAGCAGGAAAGCCACTTCCCTGGGAAGCGGAGCCACCAAATACTGCCAATTCTGTTTCAGGGAAGGAGACACTGCTGCCCTGCCGCAGTGAAGCCACCTCCCCAGGAGCTGGCTAAGCACAGATGATACCATTCATCAATAAGCATCTGCTCATCAGTTATATGGTTAGTTAGTTACACTAACATTCCTAATTTGCATGTTACTTTTTAGTCTGCTGAGAAGCAGAAATTGAAAGCCCAGAATTTTTAAGAACAGCAAATTTAAATAAAAAATTCCAATATTTTTTCTTTTTTTTGAAAAATCATTTTTATCCAACCAGATCACTGCAGTAATTCAGGGTGAACGGGAGCTGCGATTCCCGTACCTGCAGTGGCAGAGGTAAATATGAAGATGTGGGAGCCTACCAGGGGCTAATCCTAACAGACAGATCTAACATGTGGGCTGGTATTTTCCCACTCCTGCCTTAGCTAGAGTATGCTTTCTGGAAAGAGACTCTTATTATTTTAACATTTTGTAATGGACAACCCAACACATTCCTTGTTAAACTGTTCCAATGGTTAATTAATGTTACTTGAAATTTGTGCATTTTCTGTAGCCCCAATTTACCTAGCTTCAGCATCCAGCTGCTGGATCTTACTATATTTTTCTTTGCTACATTAAAGAGGCCTATATAGAAATCTTTTTCCTATATATTTAAGTAAAGTTATATTTTGCTGAGCTCATTTCTGAATATTTGTGAAAATGCCAACATCAACTTAAAATCTAGACATTTTAAGAGTTTTTATGGAGTACTTTACAGCTCCTGCAGCCCACTATTTTTGAGATTTCACAACCCTATTTATCCACTCACGCCCCAATAAGGTGTTTTTCTTCCCTTTGATATGTGAGACACTCAAGCAAACAAAAGAATTAGTGCTCATAGAGAGGGACAAACGTGTCACTGACAAAACGAAGTGCTATTCAAAGCAAGCTAAAACAAGAGAAAGCAGCTTCTCTCTAATCTCGGGCAGTCACAGTAATCATATATGAACAACATCCTGATGTGGGAAAACTTGCAGACAGAAGCGTTGCTCTCAACATGACAAGCGTCTCCAAGTTCAATGTGTGTGTACAATGAGGAAGCTTGAGATGACGAGACCTGAGCCACAAACGCGGGCCACACCCCAAGAGCCACTTTCCAGAAAATAAGTTACCAGAAGTTCTGGTCTTTCCCACGGGTGACAATCCCACGCTGGGGAGAAAAGCGCAAGAGGAAGCCACCCTGCTCTAACTAGCGCTTGCGCTTCAAGTGTCTCTTTCCCCTTGTGCCCCTGCAATGGATCTCGTTGGGAAGCAGCAACCCCCGCGTCTCTCCCCGCTCCCCCCCCGTTCTGCATCGGGGGGGCAACCGGCACGGCCAGCGGCAGAGCGGCTCCCGTGCACGGACAGCACCTGCCACGCCGCGCCCTTGTCCGCACTGACCAGAGCCGACGGCGGAGCGGCATCCGCACTGGGCTGCACCGGAGCTCGCGGGCAGGGCAGGGCGGACAGCACCTGAGCCCCCGGACCCGTGTCACCCCGAGGCTGCCTGACAGGCCGGTGGGGGGGGGGGGACGGGCTCCGCGCGCGGGGCTGCCCCCATAGCCGGGAAAAGGGGTGAGCGCCCCGCCGCTTACCTGCCGAGCTCCCTGCCGGGGCTGAGGCTGTAGCGCTCCTGGAAGGGCTCGGTGCGGATGGCGGTGCGGATCTCGCTCAGGAAGCCGCCCCGTCGGCGGCCCCGGCCACAGGGAGGCTGCGGGGCCCGGCTGGGCGGGGGCTTCTCCTCGGGGCTCATGGGGGAGGGAGGCGAGCGCAGCGCTCGTGCCTGTGGCGGGGGAACCGTCTGAGGCGCGAACCAACCGCCGACCCGGACCGTCGCGCGGGCAGCTCTGGGAGCAGCCAGTCGGGCCACGCGCCGCTCCGAAGGGAGGGGGCGGGGCGCGGCCAGACCCCGCCTCGCCTCTGCCACAGGGGGCGTGGCTGACGCGAGGCCGAAAAAAAAAACCCCCAACTTTTGGGCTGAAGTGGCGGTTGACGGCGCCACCTACTGGGCCGCGCGCGCGGGCGAGGGAGAGTCGTATTCTCTCTCGCTCTCGCCCTCTCCCCCCGCCCGCCTGATGCGCGTGTCCCTCCCGCGCCTGCGCTCATCCAGTCCCGTCCAGCCAGTGGAAGCGAATGGGCAAATCTGCCGCTGCCCGGTCCTGCTCGCGTGCAGGCTGCCTCTGTAGCGCACAACAGCGCCTGACTGTGCCCCCCTCCCCAGCGTGACCCGCCCCGTCTGCGCTGAAGCGCGGGGGACGCAGTGCGGCTAACTGCACCTGTGCAAATGTCCTTGCCCCTGGCCCCCCTCCCTGCACAGCCACTGCCCCAAATCCTCCACTGACTGAAACAGCACAAGGCTGAAAACTAAGGATGTTAAGGACTAGTGGATAGGGTTGCCAGATGATTTCAACAAAAATACCGACACAGTTGAAATTACATCACAATCTACATTACATTTTATTTAGAAAATACCAGACATTTATATTTTCTCATATTTTCTCACTTTGTTTCCTGAACAGAAAGTTCAAATACTGGCCTGTCTGGTTTAAAACCAGCCACTTGGCAATTCCTACTAGTCACATAGAGGCAGAAAAGGGGGTACTTCAAAGTGGCAGTGCCCCATGGAGCCTGTACCTGGCTTCTGTGTGGCGCTGCCCCTTTGAAACTCTGCGGAGGCATTTCAAAGGGACAGCGCCACACAGCTGATTCCGGATTCCACAGAAATGGCACACGGAGCCCGGAATCAGCTGAGGAGTCCCCCGCTGATCCCAGGCTCCACCTGGCATTTCAAAGAAGCAGCGCAGCATGGAGCTCAGGGTCAGTGGGGAACTCTGAGTCCCCCACTGATCCCAGGCTCCATGAGGGCTCTTCTGCTTTGAAATGCACAAGAGCTCCTGCTAAGGACTCTTGTACATTTCAAAACTGACACCCGCATACAGCCTGGAGTAAGTGGGACTTCCCGCTGGCCCTGGGCTGCACAGGGAGTTCCGCATTCCTCCTTTGAAATGTACAAGAGCCCCACTGGAGCTCAAAGGAGGAATGCAGAAGTGCCTATTGATTACTTGAATAGTAAATTACTCGATATTTAACATCCTTACTGAAAACTATAACAACATGCACATTTGTATTGGTTGCTAAGAAAGGTTTGAAAACATGAAACCTAGAAATCTCCTGCCTCCAGGTGCAGAGGCTTTAAGGCAAAGTACCAACTACTGCAAGGCTGGTGATAGAATCAAAGCTGGTAACATTGAAATGCTGATCCACATTGAAAAGTCCAGGCTGCATAGACCTAGAGAATGTGCACTCATGAGTGGGGACTTCCACGTGTGTGTATATAAAAAACAAGGCTTATGTCATGGCCAAAAATATTAAGCCAGAACTGTGTTGAAAAGAAATAAGCCAGTCTATGTCATCCTCTTTGCACAATGATAATAGTAAATGTTTTGAACTGTAATGGAGCAACATAATGTCTGCTATATAAGTGAAAGTTAAACTGCAGTCAATAGACCAAATACTCCCCATGCAGTTCTTTAATACTACTCAAGCAGCTCACAGTGTACATGGATTCTAGCATGCTTGGAGTAAGGCGAATAATATTAATTATATTACAGTAGCATGTATAGGTCTCACTTGAACTGTACAAATGCATAATAGGAAAAAGGTGCCCCAAAAAGTGTATAGACAAAATAGAGTACAGGCCATTTCCATTCTTTCTTAGATGCCACAGTTTGACAGAGGCAGCAGAACTACCTCAATCAGTCTTCTGCTGGTAGAGAACTATCCTGTACAGGCATAAACTGGATTTAGCCAACTGAAGTATGTGTTTCAGCAGAAATAGAAGGGTACCAGAGATTTTAAAAACATATTAGAATCACGGAAAGACTTCCATACACTTAATGACTGAAATTATTAGTACTGTTTAGAAAGATGTGATACACATGTATCAAACTGATTGGCATAGACAATTTGAGTGCTTCTATTTACCCTCACAAGACAAGGACAGGGGAACATCAAATTATATTGAAAGGTAATATGTTACTAGAAACTTTTTTCCTCACTACACAATGCATGAATAACTTAATAAAGTCACACATCATTGAAATGAAGAATTTAACATGCTTTTTAAAAAGAATCAGATATTGATATGGATAATGAGAACATATATAGTAAACATACAAGGCATATGACCCTCATCCATCCATTAGCTAATGATTTCTGGTATTTTTGCTATGGCCAGGCTATTCCATAATTATTCATTATGAGTTTCTTGGACTTTCTTGTGAAGCTTTTTGGCGACTAAATATTGTAGGACACTGGACTAGAGGGACTACTAGCCTCACATGGAAAGGGGATTTATATGCTTCTAAATACATTCTAACTTGAGAAGGCAGTCCCAGTTCACTGTCAAGTTCTTTGGAGACTGGAGTTCTCTTCTGGAGGGAAGAATAGTTGTCTAGTGCGTAAGAAATGGAGTACAACTGGGTGAAGTTAAAGGAATGGACATTTTTATCCTATCTAACAAACCCTAAGTTCTATAGTTTTGCTTTAGGTACATTTTGAAGAAAAACCTTCTGTGACACTGCTATTTAAAATAGATACTGCTAAAGCATTTCTCTCTGTTAAATGACAGACACACCCTTTGCAATGCCAGCCAATCAGGGTTGCCAACCATCAATATATTTACCGACAGTCAGTAAAAAATTATCTGAAATTGGATATGTCCATAAAGTCCATAAAAAAGTAGATGTCCATAAATTTCTTAAAAGTGCAATAAAATTTCAAAAAACAGCAATTATTCTATAGCAATTAAATTTCCTCTGTGCTGCTTCAGCCATTTTACTGAAGAGCAGTGGAAATTGGACGTTTTAGTTGTTTATTTAGCTCAATGGTTGAGGTGACGTAATGTGATCCACATTATGTTATCATCTATGGTTAACAGTGTCAGTGTTCGGATGTGCGATCACAAAATGGAAAACTTCCAGGTCCATGACTAACTAAATGAAAGTGAGTTAAATAGCACATTGTTCTTGTGATGTATGAATGACAACGATTACTTTTCACTTTTGGCCATTTATGTCGTCTTAATATAGTATAAAAATATGTCCATAAAAACATTTGTCTGTCTGTACATTTTTCGCATTTTGTCCGTACATTTAATTTCTGTGGGTTGGCAACCCTGCTGCCAATATCCAGGGCCTGTAGCCAAAAAGATTAATGAGATAATAGCCCCACATATAGGAAAGGATTCTAAACCACCCAGTCATTGATCAATGATAATTGAAGGGTGAGTGAGCAGACTGATGACTGAGTAGTTTTGGAAATAGAGAGTCAGAGATACAAAATGAATATTTTTAAAATGATTTTCCATTATTTTATAATTTTTGGAATTTAACAGAATGCAAAGCTTTGTTAGAGACTGACAGTTTCAGTGCACATCTTGCAAAGAATTCTGACTAAATGGTAATTGGGACAGATTCCTATTATTAAACAATAAAAACTAGGAGTTAACTTAGCTAGGAAGTTGTTAAGGTTGAAAGTGCACATTAGGGTGTTAACTAACATCAAGACAGTGTGGTGTTATTTCCCCAGGATACTTTTATCTCAAAAACACAAATGTTTATAAATGAATGGTTAATTCTTGCCATGTGTTCCCTTTTTATTTATTCTCACCAGAGATAGGTTACAGTTTCCTAGAAAACCATGTCCTGGACGGACTATTTAAGTTCCTGAAGATCTCAAATCAACCCCTTCAATTGCACCCGAAAGCTAATAGGTAGCCAGTGTTGCCTAGGAAAGAATCAGTGTACTATGTTCATTTCACCTAATTTCTGGAGACAAGAGGCTGCATTCTACTCCAGAATATGAAAGCATCCTCCCTTGAATGGTAGTGCTAAAGAGTGAACATTACAACACATATGGCCAAGGTGGGCTGCATACAGCAGACAGTGTCCACATTGCTCGTTTTCTAAAGAGTATTGAATTGTATATTCCTCCCTGCCTTCCTTGTCCAGGTGCCTGAGCCAACATGTCTGTTGCCAGCAGGATCTAGTTTGAGTCATGTTGACATACTTTGTTCACTCTTGATGCAGCAAGTAGAAGAGTTGAATATGTCTGTACCATATTCTTTGATATTCAGATCACTAATATTTATACTTTATTCCCAAATATCTGATGTTATTACATTATATATTGTATTTTAGGGCAATAAATACCCACAAAACTATTTAGTCAACTGGGTTTAATTCATATGCCACCATTGTTTTTTGTCAGTATCAGCATATCTGTTATTTATATTTTGTCTTTCATCCTGAAAGATCTCAAATACATTATAGAATTAAACAGTTGCATACTACACACAATTATCAATTCATCAGTCATTTAAATGCAACCATATGTGGAGTGAAAAAACAACCCAAAACAGCAATTGCCTAGTAGTTCACAGAACACCACAAAACAAGGAAGTGAATATATGTGTTTTCTAAATGGAACTGGAAGGAAAATGTAGGTAAACAAATACAGCTACCTCATTTGGTACCTGCCAAGAGGAGTGGGGTCCATAATAGCTCTCTCACAAATCCAGTGGACTCTTTAAGGACTTTTGTTCTATATACTGTAGTATAATACATAAGTTCATTTTTTTCCTGTATATTACTGTTTTACACAGGTAGTCACAGATGTTACAATACATGCACACAGACAGACAAATAGATTGTTTTTTCCAGTTTGGATAAACAGCCTCAAAAAACTTAAATTTGTTTCATGAAGTTTTATCATCCATCCTAATAAGTAAATTCCCACCGTTCTTTACTTTATCTCTTTCTCCTCCATACAGTAGGAAAGGCCCAAAGAAGGCTGATTGAAATTCAGTGTTTTAAAGTAACAGAAAGATAGATTTG